CCTGATACGAAGGGACTTCTAATGGGCTCCCGGCCTCGGAGGCGAGAAAGCGAGGGTAGGGGTGGGGGCTGCCCGGGACCCTGACGAAGGTGAAAAGGGAAGAGACAGGGGCCGAAGGGGTCCTGTCGGTGCTGAGACCCTAGCGCCAGGGCTCCGGAGCCGCGGCGTGTGGGAGCCGCGCGCGGGCCGGGGCGCCCGGAGTTTGTGCCCGACGCGCGCTCTCGGCGTTACCTGAGGCGGGACTGAGCAGTCGGAGGGGTGCCTGCGCGGGCGGAAGGCGGAGGCAGCAGCAAAGCGGGAGCATAGTAGCCCTCACTGCTCGGAGGCGGCAGAGGCTCAGCCTGCGGAGGTGGTGGGGGTCCCTCGCGCAGAAGCCAGCGACTCGGCGGAACTAGCGGCGGCGAAGGACGAGGAGGCTACTGCCATGGCCCCGCAGTCGGGACCGTTCTCCCCGTCTGCTTGGCGGGGCCAGGAGGGAGATCCCGACGGCGGGCCAGGGGAGGGAGCTGAACCTCCGCTGAAATCCGCGGCTGCGAGCGACTGAAACGCCAGCCCAGCCAGGCAGGGGGCCTGGGGGCGGGGCCTGAGGTGAGCACGCCCCTACCTCAAGCCTCCGAGCAGCCAATCAATCGCCAATCCTTGATAAACGAGCTGGCGGAATTACCCAATTAGCATTAGGAATGCCACGTGGTATGAGGGGGACTCAATGGGCGTCGGGGAAAGCCAATCAACAGCCCCAAGCGCCAACTCGGGAGGACGAAGAGAACCAATAGGAAGGAAGAGGAGATTAAAAACAGAGGAGGTAGTGTGTTGGGAAGGCGGAACCAAGGAGGAGGGAATACACCTGGGGGAAACCCAAGTCCCGGAGCCTCCGAAGAGGGGGCAGTAAACTCGAGAGGGACCAATCAAAATGCCAAACACATAAACGATAGGTAATTAATAAAGCTAACCGAAAATGGATTCGACTGACGCGGCTTCTCGGTTGGTGAAGGGTATAGCTAAGTGAGGACTACCTGAATATATGAACGCAGAATCCTGCAGGACCTCAGTATAGTGTAGGGGAAAAACTGATAAATCTAAACTACTGGAGATACTAAGAGTAATGGGTAGGGTTAAAATACTGAGGCAACTATTCATCTAGACTGAGATTCGATTTGGCGAAGGCTTCCTGGACATATAACACTTGGGCTGGCTTGAAAACTTAAGTTTGTTTTTTTCTAAGATTTTATTAATTTATTCATGATAGAGAGAGAGAGAGAGGCAGAGACACAGGCAGAGGGAGAAGCAGGCTCCATGGCAGAAGCTCGACGTGGGACTCGATCCTAGGACTCCAGGATCTAGCCCTGGGCCAAAGGCAGGCGCTGAACGGCTGAGCCGCCCAGGGATCCTGAAAACTGAAGATTTTTAAAGAGCTGGGTAGGGAGTAAGAATTCTGTTCAACTGTTCAACATGTGCATTTCCTTCCTCATGCTTTTCATATACCTGAACTTCAGGTGCTCATAATCTCTCGCCTGGGTAGATTGGAACAGGGTTAGGCTTCCAGGACTAAAGCAGGCAAGGAAACACTGGAGTATGGGTGAGGAGATACAGGCTTCCAGTAATGGAATGAGTAAGTCACAAGAATAAAAGGCACAGCAGAAGGATTATACAGTGACAGATGGTAGCTACACTTATGGTGAACATACTATGACATATAAACTTGTCCAGTATGTCGTACACCTGAAACTAAAGTAACATTGTGTGTCAACTACACGTAAACGAAAAAAAAATACTTTTATCTTTTTTTAAAAGATTATTTATTCATGAGAGACAGAGACAGAGAGAAGCAGGCTCCCTGCAAGGAGCCCAGCACCGGACTCGATCCTGAACCCCAGGATCACACCCTGGGCCATGCTCAACCTGCAGATACCCAACCACTGAGCCACCCAGGCACCCCTTACAAAACCCAGGCATCCCAAACAAACAAAAAAACAAAAAAAAAGTTTGTTTTTTTTTCCCAAACAAAAAAATTTTAAAAGATGTGTGATAGGACATAAGAATGGAAATTAAATGTGAATTGGGCTTAAATGCCAAATTTGTACTTTTTCTTTTTATGCTGTGAGAGCTGTCAAAGGTTCTTGAGCAGAGTAGCCCTAAGAGGACACTGTTTTAGTAAGATTAATTGGTAGCTATAGAGCACAGTATCTCCAAAAAGAAATCACCCCAGCCCAGTATCCTAGGCCTAAAGCCATTTCTGTATCATTCTTCTAGCAACAAATGATGTGCTGCCACCTGGTGACAGTTCAAATACCATTGTTCCACTTTGCTATTGAATTTTTCTGTTAGAGCCCCAGCATCCTTGCAAACCTGTCTCCCACAAAACCTGAGGCAAAGTAGTTGATAAATAAGTACAGTACTTGTACCAATTAGAATTGAGTAATGCCATCATACTACATGTATTTTTTGCCCGGTGAAAGATGTAAAAGACAGGGATTACTCGTACTTTGAGTAGGAAGATGAGCCTTGATGCCAAGTATTTAGTTTTTTGAACAAGTTCTGTTTGACCCAAGTCTGATCTCTACCATTCCACTCTCAGCAATCTCTTTTTAAGGATTATGTATTTATTTGAAAGACAGTGAGATCGGGAATAAGGGTAGAAGAAGAGAGAATCTCAAGCAGATTCCCCACTTAATCCCACAACCCTGAGATCATGACTTGAGTGGAAATCAAGAGTCAGATGCTTGATTAACTGAACCACCCAGGTGCTTCTTGCATGCAATCTCCTTAATACTGAGGGGGGAAGAGGGGCAGCCCAGGTGGCTCAGCGGTTTAGCGCTGCTTTCAGCCCAGGGCCTGATCCTGGAGACCTGGGATGGAGTCCCACATCAGGCTCCCTGCATGGAGCCTGCTTCTCCCTCTGCCTGTGTCTCTACCTCTCTGTGTGTGTCTCTCATGAATAAATGAATAAAATCTTTTTTTTTTAATAAATGAATAAAATCTTAAAAAAAAAAAAACTGAGGGGAAAGAACCAAGGATTGCCTCACAGCTATTCAGGTGTCAAAGGTCCACTCTTCATGACATATCTGCTAGTTATGCCAGGGCCTTGAATATACCCCATAACAGGAAGTAGCTCCTGTCCTACTCATCTCAGCCTTTTGTTATGCTTTTATTTCAGATACTTGTCTCCTCTTCCCAGCTAGATGGAGCTAAGAGCTGAGATTCTTATGAGCCCACTGCCTGTCTTAGCTGAGGGCAAATGCATACCAGGGCTGGTATTTAGCAGAAGAAACCTCATGAGATCTTAGTGGGATGTGGCTTCTTCTTTTTTTTTTTTTTTATAAATTAATTTTTATTGGTGTTCAATTTACCAACATACAGAATAACACCCAGTGCTCATCCCATCAAGTGTCCCCCTCAGTGCCCATCACCCATTCACCCCCACCCCCCGCCCTCCTCCCCCTCCACCACCCGTAGTTCATTTCCCAGAGTTAGAAGTCTTTATGTTCTGTCTCCCTTTCTGATATTTCTCACACATTTCTTCTCCCTTCCCTTATATTCCCTTTCACTATTATTCATATTCCCCAGATGAATGAGAACATATGGCTTCTTCTAAGGAAATCCTGGACTGCATTGTCTAGAATATAAAATCCAGGTAAGGTTTTGGGGCGCCTGGGTGGCTCAGTCAGTTAAGTGTCTGCCTTTGACTTAGGTCATGATCCCAGGATCCTAGGATCAAGCCCCACATCGGTCCCCCTGCTTGGCAGCGTGTCTGCTTTTATCTGTGCCCCTCCCCCTGCTCCTGCTCTCCCCCACCCCTCAAATAAATAAATAAAATATTTTAAAAAATATAAAAAAATAAAATAAATAAAAAATAAATAAATAAAATAAATAAATAAAATAAATAAATAAATAAATAAATAAATAAATAAATAAATAAATAATAAAATGCAGGTAAGGTAAAAGCAAAGCTGCCCTTAGCCTATGTAGAAAGATATACTTCTGGGGCAGCCCCAGTGGCTCAGCAGGTTAGCACCACCTTCAGCCCGGGGCGTGGTCCTGGAGACCCCAGATCAAGTCCCACGTCAGGCTCCCTGCATGGAGCCTGCTTCTCCCTCTGCCTGTGTCTCCACCTCTCTCTCTGTGTCTCTCATGAATAAATAAATAAAATCTTAAAAAAAAAAAAAAAGAAAGAAAGAAAGATATACTTCTCAGAGAGCAACCAAGTGATAGAAGGATCAGGACCAATAGCCACAAGGCCTATTTTTTTAATATGATAGGAAATATCAGGGTACATTATTCCCATTGATTCAATGAGTATTAAATCATAAAATTTGTTTCATTTAGTAAATATATACATGTATACCATTTAATAAATAGACACATATATATTTACCACAATGTAAACTATATTTCTTGCTAGAGGTCACAATCAAACAATTCTAAAAGCCACTAGATTAGAGGCAGAAACTGAAAGAAAACAGACCAGGAAACTGCTACAGAATGCAAGCCGGGCTGGGCTGGGCTGCTGAGGTTGAGGAGGTGTGGGGAGACGGGGATAAGTTGTAAGAGGCAGAAGCTGAGATGAGAAGATGAGAAGAGGAAGCCTCCTACTACTCAGGTCCAGGGCCTACCTGAATGCCTCCTCTGCATCCCCACAGCAATACTGCCCCAGAGCACTGCCCTACCTCATTCTACCTATCAGAATGGGAGCTCTCATCTCCCGTTCATCTCCAAGTTCCACTGATCACAGGGCTTGCACTCAGACAGTACAGCTATAAATATCTATGAACCTGGACTTCAGAGAGATGGCAGGAAGCAGTCAAATAACAGGAGGAAGAAAAGGTATAGTTGAGTCCATCCCATGTGGGTGCTGATTCACAGAAGATATCAGGGAGGGTTAAAACATTTTATTGCAGTTGATGGACAGGGTTAGGCAGGCAGTGACAAGCCTCAGTAGAGAGGGCAGATACCAGCTAGATCAAGAGAAACAGGGCCTTGGAGAGGAAGGTGAGCAAAACTACTCTTACAAGTCCTTACAGGTCACTCAGGAACATTGTGGGGCCGGCCCTTAAAGAAGAGTTTCTCCTGCTCAAGGCTCTGGGCCTATAGCTGTAAGCTGCTGGGCTCCAGGTTAGAAAGTGTGCTCCTCTGGAGATCTAAGAGGAGAGAAAGGGAAGAGAAAACAAACCATCAGCAAGCATCATGATATACATAGAACTAGGCCGTGGGCCTGGTCTGGTGGGGAGAAACATACAGGCCTACCTTAGGATAAGTAACAACAGAGGATGATGGATTCACAAAGAGGCAGAACCTCCATTCTACCCAGTGCCAAACAATTAGGCAGTGGACACCCAAGCACATTCAGATTCAGCCTCACCCAGACCTGGGATCCCTGCCCTTACCCTCACCTAGCTATATTAAAGGTTTCCAGTTGCTGTTATTGTCTAGAAGACTGACTTCAGAGCTAGATGAAGAAAGATAACCAGTGAACAGGGGCAATCTTAGACTGGAGGATGTGAGCGGAGGTCCTGGAAAGAGGAACAGAATGAGAAGCAGAGATGGTGACAGTCGGACAAGGGGACCCTCCTAGCACAGAGAGTCCCAAGGCCAGGACTCCAGTCTCCTCCCCCGTTATCCTCCAAACATATAAAGATATCTCAGTGACCCTGTACCAAGTATAGAATGCCCGGTACTACCTGTATGGACTGTAACCCAGATACTCATACCACCCCTACCAGCCCATGTCAAATCTAGGATAGTTGAGGGGCACCTGAGTGACTCAGGAGGTCAAGCATCCGACTCAATTTCTGCTCCGGTCATGATCTCAGGGTTGTCAGATGGAGCCCCACAGTGGGCTCTGCAATCAGTTGTGTTTGCTTGAGATTCTCTCTCTCCCTCTCCTTCTGTCCCTTCTCCAGCTCACACTCTCTCGCGCGTTCTCTCTCTCATTCTCTCTCTCTTTCATTCTCTCTCTCTCTCTCTCTCGTTTACTTACTTATTTATTTAATCTTTTAAAAAATATCTAGGATAACTGAACTTTGGTCCCCAATGCCTGGCCTCTGAGGCAAATCCCTTCCACTACCACAAGCACCCACATCCCCTGACCTGAGGAGGTTGTGATCGCATGGGGCATCCTGGGCCTCTGTCCTGTGGCAGCCTCCACAGTTTGATCTTTGCCCTCCTGGCCACTTTGCAGTTCCTCCAACATCTGTCAAACCATAGGCCCAGGTAGGACCAAACCTCTTCCTCTCCAAAATGAATCGCCCTCACCACCATTGGCATCTTCAGCACACACAGAACCCTCATGTGGGCAATGACAGTTTCTCAACCTGGAGAAGGGGGCTTGTGAAGAAGAGCTTTGGAGAAGGGTACAGTCAGCATAGGGAAGAGAGAAAGAGATGAAGTGGAAAAGGGTATCCTGGCCTGCCTGCAGAACAGAATAGAGTGAAAAAGGAAGGGGTCTCCACAAGGAGATATGAAGAGATAGATCTGATCCTCGTCCTACCTTCCAGCTGTGGGCCTGAGCTTGCTGCCCCTCAGCCATCTGTTTCAGCAGCAGCTCCTGGTGCTGACCTTCAGATGAGAAAAAAAATGTAAGGGAGCTATTCTCCAACTTCTTTCCTTTCCCCTCCCTGCCTTGTGCCCATCCTGGTGATGAAAACAGACAGGGGCAGCCCCGGTGGCTCAGCGGTTTAGCGCTGCCTTCAGCCCAGTGCGTGACCCTGAAGATCAAGTCCCATGTCGAGCTCCCGGCATGGGGCCTGCTTCTCCCTCTGCCTGTGTCTCTGCCTCTCTCTCACTATCTCTGTGTCTCTCATAAATAAATAAATAAATAAATCTTTAAAAAAAAAAAAAAAACTGAGACAAAGCATTCTAGTGTAGCTATTGGGAAGCTTCCAAGCTGATTGGGGAGACCAGACTCACACCATGGAGGCAAGACAAAACACTTGGCCAGACTTCTGAGCAGCTCAAGCAGTCAGAGCTACAGCCAGTTACTAGGATAGCAAAAAGACTCTCCATAGAAGAGGACAGGTGAACTTGTACCCACCCCCAATTGTTTACTCACTCAGCTGGTCCCGCAGCAGCTTTAGATCCTCCCGAAGAATCTCTGACTCCTCCCATAGGAGTCGCCGCCTGCGCAGATGACAGTAGTATCACCCCAAAGCCAATCAACAAGCCCAGAAGACACTACCAGGAGTTAGAGGCCTGAAGAAGGAGAGATCTTGACCATCACTTACTCATTCTGCAACTCTTGGTGAAGACCACTAGTAGCGCTGCACTTTCGTGGTCCTGTTTGTATTTGGGCTTGGGCCTGTTTCTGCACCTGGCTTCGAAGGCACTGCAGTTCCTTTCTCAGACCCTCCACGCGTTGCTCCAAGAGGAGGGCTCTCTGCTCTGGACCCCCCTGCAGCAGCCTTAGTGATGCTGTATGGGACAAGTTGAAGGTTAGCCCTTCTGAGAATTTTACACATGAGCTTAGAGACTCCACTTGCAAACCAAAACAACTGCACAGGAAGTATGTAACAAGGGATCCCTGGGTGGCGCAGCGGTTTGGCGCCTGCCTTTGGCCCAGGGCGCGATCCTGGAGACCCCGGATCGAATCCCACGTCGGGCTCCCAGTGCATGGAGCCTGCTTCTCCCTCTGCCTGTGTCTCTGCCTCTCTCTCTCTCTGTGACTATCATAAATAAATAAAAATTAAAAAAAAATTGTGTGCGTACATAATGAACTATGTGTATGAAAAAAAGGAACTGGCCAGGTACCTTCCAGAGCACGGATCTGATACTTCTGCAGCTCTCGCTCTTCCAGCAGCCCCTGCACAGCCTTCCTCAGTGTCTCAGTCACCTACTCAGGCAAGAAAAGCCACATGACCTACTGTGTCAGGGGCTTCCCCAATACCTAGTACCCTCATCTCACACAAACACGATACATACACACCTATGAGCCCACGCTTTACCTGAGCCTGGGACTGAAGCTGGGACCGGAGAATAATAACTTCAGCCCAGAGAGAAGATTCTCTGTGGGCCTCAGCCCAACTCAGCCTCTCCGGAGCAAAGGGAGTCTCTAACCAAGACTGTTGAGCTTGGCCTCCAGACTGTGGAGGCAAATGATGAGGGGAAATCCAGGTCCCAGGCAGGTCTCCTGCTGAAGGAATAAATAAGAGATAATTGTGAGGCCTATCTTTAGGGGAAAAAACAGATGTTTGCTCAGGACAGAAAACAGCTGGAATTTGGAAGGAATAGTGGAAGGTACAGACACTACAAACAGGCAGATCCTGGAAAGAAAAAAGGCTGGAGAATAGAAAAAGGACAACACTTACCTGCTGTGGAGACTCCAAGAGGATACAGATGCTGCTACAAAAGAAACAAGTGTACAGGCCAATAAGCTCTCAGTGTCCCTAAACCCAAAATTCCAAACGGGTACCCCTAGGCGCCCCCTCACCTTAATCCTGGCTATATTTCCATTAGTAGCATTGAGAAGTGCGTCGAGGTGCTCAGACCAGCTCAGGCTCCTACTCATAACCTTCTGCGAGGTTTCCTCCTGGCGTCTCCTAGCCTTGCTCTCCTAGCCTGGAATACCCGAGGCACAGCCCCAGTAAAACCACACGTCAGAGTGGGGACTGAGGAAGTAATAGTAAAGGTAGGGATGCAATATCAGGCCAAAACTAGGACTAGCAGGGAACGGCGCTTGGGGAATCTAGGGGAAAGGCGAAATACTCTGATAAGCAGATATCAGGTGGGACTTGAGAGTGCCGATTCTTGATCCAGACCTCTCCAGATGCAAGACACAGGCATTATCACCCCGAACTTGTGCCAGCGACTACAGCCGCCACCTGGTTCAAACCGTTCTGTAGACCGGGAAAGTCTGATTTTGGACTTGCAGCCGCAGCGCCACTAGGGAAACCGAGTTCATCTCTCGCGGAGACAACTGACGATGGAGGCTGCGGAACTACGTTTCCCTGGAAGCTACACGAGCATTCACACCCCCGCCGTGAAGCTTGCCGGGAAACTGAGGCTTTCGGATTCTGTAGTTGTTGTCCCCAAGGACCAAGTGAACTACATATCCCAAGATGCATTGCACCGAGCCAACGCTATTCCGCTGCTGGTCCCAGTAGTTCTTGGGAAATGTAGTCCAAGCTACCTTGAAACGCCACTGCCCAAATTATCCTCGAGACTCCATTCCCCAGCAAGCTCTGCGCGTAGCGTGCGCTATGGAGCCACAAGTCGCAGAACTGAAGCAGAAGATCGAGGACACGTTGTGCCCTTTTGGCTTCGAGGTTTACCCGTTTCAGGTTGGTTCATCCCTCCTGTGATGCTGGGCGAGGTGTATGATTGACCTGGGTGCTACCGGCGTGAAGCTCGAGAGCATTCTGATCCTTCCCGAGCTCCTCTGGCCCCATGTCCTTCTGACCTACAGGGACAGGGTGTCATCGAGGACTCGGTTAAAAGGGTAGAGAAATAGTCTCACGCTTGTCATTTTACCCCCATATAATGCCGTATTTTTTAATGAGACACACATAATCCAGTAATCGTGTGGCTCTGCCACCTCCATTATTCAGAGGAAGAAAGTGACCCCTGAGACCAGTCACCTTCGAAGGAATTAGAACAGGGCAAGGCCTGGAAGGTTTGCTTAGCTAAGATTTAGGCCATTTGAGGAGGGAAGGGCATTCCTTTTGTTGAATAAGCAAACAATTGGCTGGTTTGTTCATCTGCCAACAGAAGGATAATTCATGATGTTGCCAGTCACCAGCGCTGGGCTGGGTACAGAAACTGAGCACTCGCCTGACACAGAAGTCTGGTACCACCACCTCCCCTTGTTTACATAGATCCATTTCCCCTTTATCCAGTGCCCCCTGTGCTGAGATGTGTGCTTGGACATGGCTAAATCAACTCAGGTTGAGCCCTTTGCCTGATGATTAAGAGGCAGCACACTCCCACCCCTTCCACTGAGTGGCCCACAGCAGGGCTGAAAAGGAATATAAAGGAGGAGGTAGTTGGGTCTAACTTGAGAAGGACTGACCAGAAAAAATGGAGTTGAGCTACATGTGAAAAGAAGGAAGGAAGATTATGTACATCCCAAATATCAGGAATGGCTTGAGTAATGAGTAAAGGTGTGGAGGTAGTGGTGGATGGCAGGTATGGAGACAGTGAGAATGACTGGTGGGTCAGGTAGACCTGGGTGGGTAGTGGGAGTTACTGTACTGAACAGAGCCGGTCATCCTGGGCTCCTACTTCTCACTCCTTCCCTTCCCTCCAACCCTTGTGTGCTCTGGTCCAAGCCAGTATTCGTCACTTGGATTACTGCAGTAACCTGCCTGCTATCATTTTGCATGCAAACCATCCTCCACACTAAAGCCAGATCTTTCTAAAACTATCAGTTTACTCCTTAAATCTTCAATAGTTCGCCCCTGGGCAGCCCCGGTGGCACAGCGGTTTAGTGCCGCCTGCAGCCCAGGGTGTGATCCTGGAGACCCAGGATTGAGTCCCGTGTCAGGCTCCCTGCGTGGAGCCTGCTCCTTCTGCTTGTGTCTCTGCCTCTCTCTCTCTCTCTCTCTCTGAATAAATAAATAAATAAAATCTTTAAAAAAAATAGCCTCTTATTGTCAGCAAATTAGACTTGTATTCCTTAAATTGATATTCTAGGCCAGGCATAATCTCATGCCTACTGATCTCTCCACCCTTCTCTCCTGCTCGCCTTTACAAACCCTTCACTTCTATCAAACTGGACAATTTACTCTTTTGAAAATACGCCCTTTTTGCATGTTTTTGTTAATGCTGTAACCTCTATTTAGAATACATACCAGATTCTCCCTCCCCACATCAGTCTCTCAGTTTCCTCCTAGCCTTCAAAACAGCTTCCAAGAAGCTTTTTCTAATTTCACAGAACCCTCATCTGGCCTTGTCATTGCAACTAATCACAGTACAATTTCTTTTGGTTCTTAATTATTCATGAATTCTCTGCCTTTCTATTTTCACATTCCCTGTTAAATTTCCCCCATGGAGGAGGCCCCCATAAATATACATCATGCAGCATCAGTACAAGTCCATTGGCTGAATGAATGAGATGGGAGGCTGAGGCAAGATGTATGAGGCCTTGAATGCTAGGGTGAGGCATGGGCCTAGCAAAGGCCTAAACTGACCCTCTGTGTGGCCTGAATTTTCTCTGTTCCAGGTGGCATGGTATAATGCACTCTTGCCTCCAGCCTTCCACCTACCCCTGCCAGGACCTACCCTGGCCTTTCTGGTACTCAGCACACCTGCCATGTTTGACCGAGCCTTCAAACCCTTCCTTCAGAGCTGCCACCTCCAACAACTGACTGACCCTGTGGACCAGTGCGTGGCCTACCACTTGGGCCGCATTAGAGAGGTGAGCAAGGTTCTATATTCCCCCAGCTTCTAAACCTATAGCTGCTTCCACCTTCTCTTAAGCTCTCAATGCAGGACTAGACCTACATAGAGCCAAGAACCACTTCCCAGACAGAAGGATACCATAAAGCCATCCCTGACATTATGATCTCTCTTCATTCTGCTTTATCTTACCCCAGTTTCAGCCACCTTCTTCTAGCAGCCCCCCAGGTCTGGAATCAGTCTCACTCCCCCTACTCTCACGGGCAATTCATTATATGAACCTCAAACCAGAATTCCCTCAGCCTCCAAGTGAAATAGGAATAAGCCCAGCATCGTCTAAGTATTGCTCACCTGTCTTTGCCCTAGACCTGGAGGTTTTTTGCTGTCTTTGGGGCCTTTTGAGGACAGAACAATATTTCCCCACCACCCTCATACACGTACACGTACATATACATACATACATACATACATACATACACATACATTGGATCTCCCCAAAGCTGTGCCAGGTCTTCCTCCATACTGGGACTCTGGAAGACCAAGACCAGTCATCCCTCATAATAAATTTTTTTTAATATTTATTTATTTGGGGGCACCTGGGTGGCTCATTTGGTTAAGCATCTGCCTTCTGCTCAGGTCATGATCCCAGGGTCCTGAGACTGAGCCCCAAGTTGGGTTCCCTGCTCTATGGGGAGCCTGCTTCTTCTCCTTCTCCCTCCCCCCCGCCCCCGCTATTCCCCCTGCGTATGTTCATTGGCTCTTTCTCTGTCAAATAAATAAAACCTTAAAAAAAAAAAAGTTTATATATTTGAGAGAGACAGAGCACAGGAGCAGGGGGTCAGAGGGAGAGGGAGTCTCAAGCAGTCTCCACACTGAGTGCAGAGCCTGACATGCAGGGCCCAATCTCATGGCCCCAGGAGATCATGATCTGAGCCGAAACCAAGAGTCTGACACTCAACCAACTGCATCATCCAAGTGCCCCAACCCCTCAAAATAGAAGGTAGTCTTCTTCCTCTCTTCAAACATGTGCCCTCCTAGACAGAATATCATTTTCTTCACAGTGGGCCCATATGCCCCCCTTCCCCCAAATTTAAGGTCATGTTTTCCCTTCAAACAACTTCTGAGGACAGGACCTTGTTAACACAATATAGGGCTCTCTAGGACAAAGTTATGATTCCTCTCATGCTGAAATGAGCTTCCATCTCTATCCCAGAACCTCCCAGAGTTGAAAATAGAAGTCATCGCTGACTATGAGGTACACCCTAATCGACGCCCTAAGATTCTGGCCCAGACTGCAGCCCATGTGGCAGGAGCTGCTTACTACTACCAACGAAAGGATGTGGAGGCTGACCCCTGGGGGACCCAGGTCAGAGAGCAAGTGTGAATATTCCAGTAGGGACTGGGAGAAAATGAAGGCCCTCAAGACAGGTAGACATAATACAAGGGTAAGATGTGCCCTGGTCAGGAGCCCAACCTCATATGCTTTCTGGAGTCTACCTGGGAACAGATCAGGTCAAAGAACCTAGTCTGTCTTAATATCTGGTTACAGAGACGCCTGGGTGGCTCAGCAGTTGAGCATCTGCCTTTGGCTCAGGGTGTGATCCCGGGGTGCCGGGGTCAAGTTCCAAATCGGGCCCCCTGCATGGAGCCTGCTCCTCCCACTGCTGGTGTCTTTGCCTGTCTCCCATGAGTAAATAAAATCTTAAACAAACCTGGTTACAGGCTGGAAGGAGCAGAGCAGTGATTAGGAGACAAGTGGTAAGAGAGACTGGGAAATTGATAAAGAATCCTCCTTCCTCATAGCCAGAGTAAGCTTATGAAGTGTTGTCTGGGAGAGGAAATGGGGGAGCCCAGCTACAATAGTGACAGTTTTGGGGCAGCCCTGGTGGCTCAGCGGTTTAGTGCCACCTTTAGCCCAGGGCATGATCCTGGAGAACCGGGATCAAGTCCCACGTGGGGCTCCCTGCATGGAGCCTGCTTCTCCCTCTGCCTGTGTCTCTGCCTCTCTTTCTCTCATGAATAAATAAAAAGTGACAGGTTTGAATGTGGAATCAGTATCCTTTGGGAATTGAACAAGCATAGCCTGCAATGATGGTAATTGGGACTTAGTGCCGAGGTGATTTCCATGACCTTACTTTTCTTTGCTTTCTCCCAAGCACATAGCAGGAGTGTGCATACACCCCAAATATGGGGGCTGGTTTGCCATCAGAGGAGTGGTGCTGCTGCCAGGAACAGAGGTGCCAGACCTACCACCCACAAAGCCCCTGGACTGTGTGCCTAAGAGAGCTGATCGAATCACCCTGCTTGAAGGCTTTAATTTCCATTGGCGTGATTGGACATACCGGGATGCTGTAACACCACAGGAGCGCTACTCGGAAGAGCAGAAGGCCTACTTTTCTACTCCTCCTGCCCAACGCTTAGCCTTCTTGGGCTTGGCCCAGCCTTCAAAGGATACTAGCTCTCCATCTCCTGAGCTACCTTTTACCACATTCAGACCCAAAAAGCCCCAGAATGCCAGCAGAGCCCGGGGCTGGGTCAGCCCCAGTGTCTCACCACCTGCGTCCCCTGGCCCTTGATATCCTTCCTCCCCTGGGATCCCTATTTATAAGTGGTACTTGTTGGGACTCATTTTGCTTTTTGGCAAGGCAAGAGATTTTATTTTGATATAGTATTTATTCTTCATATAAGAATTATAGTAGAGATCTTCAATGAAGATGAGGCTCAGAGAACTTAATCAAAACAAAGACAAGACAGATTCAGAATACCCACCTGGTTTGAAATAATGGGATTCCTATTACTATGTCTCTGCTCCAATAAGCTACTTGTTACAAAACCTTTATAAAGGGTAATCATCCCCTAATGACCCCTGCCTCATAGGCTTGTTGTGGGGACTGAATAAACGCCTGTAACACACTTCTGAAAGGATGCCTGGCTTATACTAAGTGGTCTCAGTAGTCATTTGAAAGCCCTGAGAATCCTGTACTGCAGCTCAGAGGGGGTCTTGCTTGGAGGGATGGGGATAGGCTGGAATAGCTGATAGGTTATCTAGAAGGGTACAAAATACTCTTCTGAATCTTTCCTAGCCACAAGGACTTAGGAGGCACCCACTTTTTCCCCCAGACACACACTCCTCCCTTCAGGAAGATAAAGGTGGAAAAAGGACTACCCTCAAATCAAGGCTATGACTTAGGGAAGCCAATTAGTGCTAAGCATGGTTCTTTTGATATGGAAAGCTTTACCCTATATACCATAGGGGTTTCCCCCTACCTTTAGTTTTAAAGCCTCTACTTCTGTTTTGAAGGTTTTTTTTCAGCGAGGCTCAAACCACCATATGCTAAGTTCCACAGCCAGGTTGCACCAAAAGACTAGAAAATTTCCTTTTGGTATTCCTGAAGAACTGGATTCCTGTTATATAGGCCTTGTTCTTCCTCTGGAACTACAAAAATATATGTACAATTGA